TGGGATCATGACCTGAGCCGAAGGCATATGCTTAACGACTGAGCCACCCAGGCGCCCCTCCAGCCTCTATCTTTAATACCACCATAACAGTTTTCAAATAGTACTTTTAAAAATTTTGTTCTACTTGTAAAGATAATGCATAATTACTGTCAAAAATGCTAGCACAGAAACAAAATACTAAAAAAACAAAAAACACCTTACATCCTACCACAGAAAGATAACCACAGTTAATTCAGTAAATCTCATTCCAGATATTTCCATGCATACAGAAACAAAAACAGAATACATCTACAATTCTGTATGAACGGGATGGACCGTGGTGGCGTTTTACAACCTGGTGTTCTTTACTCACATATTATGTCTGATTTCTTTTCGGGCAACAAAATTTTCCCTCTTATGGCTTCATTGTGTTTCATCAATTACATAAATGCCGATGTATTTATAAAATCTCCTATTGACTGGAATAGTTTAGGTTGCTTCCAATTTTTTTGCCATTATAAACAAAAATGACTATATTCCCACACCTGTATCTCTATGCAATTGTGTAGTATAATTGCGCAATTGTCCAATTATCTCCTTAGGAGAAATTTCTAAGATAACTATTGTATCAAGTGGGATTTCTGGATCAAAGATTTTTAAACTTTGAACATATTCCAAACTTCCCCTTCAGAAGAGCTGTACTAACTTTACCTTCCCACCATCATTACATGAATATATTTTTTTCCTCACAGCTTTAGCCAAAACTGAGCAATCTATCATTCTTTTCAATATTGAAATCTATATTTTAATTGCATTTCACTGATAACTAATGAAGCTGAATATTTTTCTTTCTTCCTACTTCTATAATGAACTGCTGGAATATGCCTTTGTCCACTTTTATCCAAATGGCATTTTAGTCTAACCTGAAGATTGACCAAGATCTCCCTTCATAATATGGTTGGGATTATATTCCTCATGTTGGTAATGATTTTACTCATCACAAATACATAAAAGGTCGAAGAGCTATTGCTCAGTCTCAAAATGCATCTTACCTGATCTACCCCTCGTGGAGATCTCACATGTCAGTCGCTTGAAATATTCTGGGAGATCTGCATATTCATTTCCATAGGAGATGACCTTAATTCCTTTGTCCAGCATGTTTTCTCGAAGCTTCTTGAACTCATCCACATCTCCTCTCCGAACCAGCATGAAATGTTCTAAGTCAGATTTATGCTTCACAGCCTCCAGAAAAAGGGCTTGGAAAGTGGTGTCATCCACAGTCCAGCCACATCCCAGGAAAAGAAATGACTTGTTTTCATAGAGTTTCTGAATCTCTCTCTTGCAGGAAAAGAAACAACACGTTAATGACACTGTGAAGACACACATAAGGCCTGTCCGAAACAAAAAAGTCAACAGGGTCATAACTACAACATTTAGCAGACTGTGATGACCAATTAACCAAAATTCAAGAGGGTATGTATATTCATTCCAAGAAGGAGTCTGATCTTATTGTTTATGCCTACCACTTGATGACTGGTCTAAAATTGTATCTTTACCTGGCATGCTACTGCTCTCTATTCAGGCTTTCACTGGGTAGGCAGTGGTCTACTTGCGATACAGTTTGTCAGATCTATGTGTCCAGAGGCCGTAAGGCATTGAAAAGTTTTCAACACATCTTACTCTTCCCATTTTCTAGATCATATTTTCCTTTTTTGCTTTACAAACTGAACCATAGATCACCACAGAAGGTAATTCCATCACCAGATTTCTTAAACAAAAAAAAAAAGTCTATGACACTTACTACATCAATGTGTATACGTACATTATACCTATATATATATACACATATAGGTACATATACAAACATTGGAAATGATTCTGCTTAAGGGATCACTCAATGTCAAAGATGGATGCAATTAAAACACATGTCAGGAAAAGTATAGGTGAAAAAAAATCCCTTATGCTTTAGAAAGTATCACATTTTTCCTGGTCTTTCTTTTGCTGCATCATGTAAAGATACTATCATTCCAAGTGACCTAGTCCTGAAAACAGCCAGTATACACTGTTCTCAGCGTTGGGAGCTGGTGAATTTTCCCCACATATCCCTGGCCAGAGAGTACTTTACACACATGTATGAACAAGTCTAAAACTTGTATCTCAAAAAAGCAACAAGCTTTCTCACAAAGCTTTATCATCCTACCTAAAATTTTTAAAATTCTTTGCACTGAGCAATAAGCGATAATTCAATATAAGCCCATCACCATTCACAAAGTCTCTTTAGAATGTATGTTCTAAGAGTGACTAGTCGGTAAAAAGGTGCATGTATTATTATTGGCATAGAGAGGGTTTAATACTATAATAAACCAAACAATGAAGAAGGATAATAATGTAATCTTTGTATGCAGGGATGATGCCGATGACAGAGTGCCATCTGCTGGCTGTCAGTCAAGAACAAAGTAAAAACCTCCGGCTTGATACCCGAAGAGACGTTCTACATTTCCTAAGCTAGCATGCACAACCACAAGCTAAGAAGCACAGAACGAATGTTTCAACTTCCAATTTTAACTCATGGGGAAAATGTTACCCTGTGAAGACCGACTGTACATTTAGAGGTTTCCCAGGAAGGCTTTCTTGAGACCAGCAAGATCAGCACCACTCACCATAACTTCAGTGTTCCTGAGCACATTCTGATACCCAGCTGGATGGAGGACAATGCCACTAGGATTGGTGTAGACCCCATGGATGTGTAAGACGCTCAGCTTCCGCTTCTCCTGAGCCCACTCTAGAACCTGTATAACACAAATATAGCTCAACCAAGCTGGCTGGGCTGAGCATTTGCTTAAAGGTCCCCATGGGCATGAGGCTGTTTTGACGGACCAGGCTGCTGGCATAACTCTGTATGATACCGTAGGGCTAGAATGTAAAACCTAGTGTGGGGTCAGTTTCCATTCCAGGCATGGCTGTTAGGACTGATGGCAGCATGCCTGGTGATTTCTCTTCGAAAGTAACCATCAAAAACTATAAGTTGCGTGTCGTCACTTGCAGAAATGCTAGAGCTCTTACCACTGGTGATACACATGACAGCCATGGATAACTGTCTCAGTAATGATCTCTAAAGTATCACAGCTCCTTGTCTCCAGGCCCTGTGTAGTCCCTCTTCACACTTATTCCAGGCTTGGCCATTGGCTTGCTTCAGTCAACAGGGCATTAGCAAACATGATGCAAGCAGCAGCTTGAAAAATGTTGGCATGAGTCTCATTTCTCTTTCGCTGCTTCTGGAAGCCGGCACCACGTAAGAAGCCTCGGCTAGCCTGCTAGAGATGCGTGGCCCAGTCAACTGCCCATACCAACAGACACGGAAGCAGGGCCATCTGACAGCACCCCGTCTTGGTCGAGCCCCCAGATGACTGCAGCCATGTGGGTAACCAGCAAAACCAGCAGAACTGCCCCATTTCTAAGCCCAGCTCAAATCGCTCACTCACATTATCATGTGCAAATAAAATGTTTGAAGCCCCAAAGTTTCAGCGTGGTTTTTTGTGCAGTGGATAAGCAGTAGAAGAATCACTTCAGTCCCCTGAGCTACCTAAAAGGCTACCAATGAAGAACAATCACTTAGATGACAATGGTAACGAGAGCTACCTGGATGCCACCATTCCATTTTCTCAAGGACTTGAGAAAGCATAATTTCATTCTCATAACATTCTAGAGAAATAAGGTATGGGTTAGGGAAAATAGTGAAGAGGCACAGAGACGCTGAACGTGAGTATCACCAGGCCGCATTCTGACCACCAGTCAGTCAATGGCTTTAAGCACTAGATTTCAATACCGCCCTCTTGTGGACTAAAACTGCAAAGCGGATCTTAAAGTTCCAGGATGAAAATGCGAGAGAAAAGAAGAGCAAGTCTGAGAGAAACCCTTAACTTTCAAAAGGCCCTTATGCTTCTTTTGCTGGTCATAATCTTAGGAGATTACATCAGAAACATCACACAAGCTGCTTCTTGCCATTAATTTTTGAATTTCATGCAATCATCTATGAATTCAAAAAAAGTATTTCCTGAGCACCTGCTATGTGCCAAGTACCATCTCAGACATCAGGCTAAGAAGGGCTGACACGGCGTCTGCGCAAATGGAGTTGCTGTTTCCACGGGATCAACAGCAAGAAAACAAACCGAGATAAAAACTGAAAGTCACAGTGAGCGCCATGAAAGACATGGGCAAAAAAAATAAGGACCGGCCCCTTCAAAACACAGAAGGGCAGGTCAGAGAGGTCCTCTCAGAGGTCATACTTCAGTTGAGACTTACAGGCAAAGAAGGAGCTTACCATACCAAGTATGGGGGTAGCAGGTGGAAAACATGCCAGTCAGAGCCAACCAGTCTTCACGGCACCATTTCTTTACATTTGATTTGTTTAAAACCTGACCGCAAGCTCAGCAAAATCACAAGAGCGGTACTGTGACACTAAACGTCAGTGAGCGAGTCAGTTTTCTATCCGAATTCTATTTATCTGGGCTCTAGGCTGGACACAAAGGCAGGTTCCTTGGAAAACAAAGTGGAGAAGGAAAAATTGCAAAAATATAAAGCAGGACAAATGAGACTTGGTGGCATTTTACAACCTGTTTTTTTTTTCTTCTTCTTCAGTCATTGTCTCTGACACCAATCTCCTATTGGTGCTAAAGTTCAAATTACAAACTCAAGTGACCATTCTAATAAAAAAGCCTTATCTTGTTGGTTGACATAGATCAACATCTATAATTCAGTATTATGGTAAACGACTTAGGTATGCATGGGCTGTATTTAAAAAAAAAAAAAAAAACAACTCTCCTGAGGTTTCCACTGAACATTAACTTCAACCCAGCTATCGCGTGGCTTGAAAGTTGCTCTTCAGACATCATATAGTAGTTTTCATACATTTCTAATAGAGGCCATGAAGAATATATCCTAAGAAAGAACTCTAAATCAGTATTAAGCTCATCTGGTATTAGCAAATGTTAAGATCTTACAGCTCAAATGACTTCCTATAACCTTGCTCTGAAATTGGGTGAAACTGTCAAAACTCACAGAACTGAACACTTTTAAGAGCTGTGCATTTTACTCTATTTTGATTTTATCTCAAAAATCAAAAAAATAAAAATCCAACTGGGGACAAGAATCTTCCTTTCTACCTCAACATAAATACCAGCAGTGTATAATATACCGAGAAAACAGCATTTCTGATGAAGATACAACCCACGAGCCTGAAGAAGAAACTAATCCTTTACTTTTTACCTTTTTCTCATCAGTAAGGTCAAGGGATTCAAGTTGTTTTCCCTGATCTGCTGCATACAGTTCCAGGAGATTATCAAAATTTGTAGTTAATACCAGGGCTCCATTTTCCATCAGGTGGAGAACTGACTGAAGGAGCTGTTTTCCAGAATCTTCCATCTTTGACTCCAAATCATCAAATACTTCATATAAACAGTCCTTGAAAAATGTGGATCGAACATTACTAGTTCGCTGGGGAGGGATTGGAAAGAGAAAAATTAATTCCACATGTTTGGGTAGGTCATTTGTTTAAACTACAATAATACAGCAAATTTTTGAAGGACATTATGTACTTAAAATAAGGATAAAATACTGTCTACCTCAGAGAGTTACAGTAAGAAAAACAGGACACATGCCATGTGCTGAAGCACAATGCCTAGCACATAGTAAGTGATCTGGACTATTATATCATATGCAAATAAACATAAATTCTCTAAATAAGCATTTTTATAGATTGAAGAAAATGGGCATGGTCGAGAGATATGAATTACTACCAGGACTAAAGAAAGGGGGTGGAAAAGCACAGTACCTACTACCCTAATTAGGCCTCAGGTAAGAAGACAATATTTTCTGTTAAACTTTCCTCACCCAGAGAATAACCAATAAAAGACAGCTATCTCTAAAATGTGGTTTAGTGTCTCTTTTTCTAATCCTGGGTGCTTTTTACAGATGTTTATAGATTTAGGAAAAACGGTTTATCTTCTCCCTGCGTGTTTTTCCCCTAGCATAATTCAGGAATTTGTTTACAGGTATGGTAGGAAAAATACTTAGTATATAACAAAGGTTGTCAAAAATTTGCATTTTGCAATTGTTTTTTAAAAATACCAAACACTGGGGCGCCTGGGTGGCTCAGTCGTTAAGCATCTGCCTTCGGCTCAGGTCATGATCCCAGGGTCCTGCGGTCGAGCCCCACATCGGGCTCCAGCCCCACATCGGGCTCCCTGCTCCATGGGAAGCCTGCTTCTCCCTCTCCCACTGTCCCTGCTTGTGTTCCTTCTCTCGCTGTATCTCTCTCTGTCAAATAAATAAATAAAATCTTAAAAAAAAAAACACTAATCAGTTCTAAACAGACTTCCTCCTTTGATTTTTAATTTTTTTAAAGATTTTTTTTTTTTTTAATTTATTCATTTGAGAGAGAGAGAGAGCATGAGCAGAAGGGAGGGTCAGAGCGAGAGGGAGAAGCAGACTCCACCCTGAGCAGAGAGCCTGACATGGGGCTCAATCCCAGGACCCTGAGATCATGATCCGTGCTGAACGCAGACGCTTAACTGACTGAGTGACCCAGGTGGTGCCCCTCGCCCTTCTTTACATATGGATTATCTGAATAAGAGCTTTCCCAGTTTCATTCTGAGAGTATGTAAATATCTCGATGACTAATGAGGAAAAAGAATACAAACCTTAGGTAGGAAGGTGGCTTTATAACTTAAAAGACAAAGTGGCCCCAGGGACACAGGAATTTCAAATGGGAACATAACTATGTAATGTGCTGTAACAAATGTCTGATCCCTATCTTGTTCCTGCAAATACCAGGCCATTAGATAGTATCAGAGCAAGAATCAGTTCATAAAGGCCCCAGTATTTCCCAAACTCCAAGTAATTGCACTTAGCTGCTAGACACATAGATACTGAGCTCCTTCTGTTTTTCCTCAAAGTAGTCCCCCTACCTTCCTGGTTTCCTTTGCGTATCCTTCGAATAGTGCAATGCTCAGAGGAAGATCTGATTCCATGGAACCACGTAAGCAGATTCATAAAATACACTTCTATTTGCCAAATTCTTTCCCTAATTTTTCAAAGTATTTTATAAAATTATCCAATCTTTAAATTATACCTACCAAAGAAATGGTAAATACTTAAACACTGGAAAACTAGAGCACAGAGGTGAAAAAGTCCCTCTTTTTGGTGGTGACACACCCTGAAGTTTATCTGGTCTGTCAATCACTATTCCATGCAACATCTACCACCAGGCAGGATTCTCCTTATACCCTGTGTCAGTGGGCTCAAAGATTCTCTTCTAGTGTTAAACAGATGGAATAGCCCATATTTACGTGGCTAAGAATGTGGGTCATGTTTTTCAACTTGTCCATTTTCATTACATAATGGCATAAATAATTACATCACATATTAGCAGCCATAGGCAACCAACTGGTGACTCAAACACTCAATCAGAATGAACAATCTGATCAGAAACAGTGAAGAATTTACAACCATACTTACTGAATTTCACCACATACATGAATTATCGAAAATATGATGCCCCTTTAATGTCTACTAAAATTACAACCCATTTACCCTACAGTCTTGCAATCCCATTTCTGGGAATATATCCCACAGATATACTACAAACAAATGAAACAACATAAACAAGATTATCACAAAAAATTCCAGTGTCATTTAAGAAATCACTGGAAACAAGCCAAGTATCCGCGTGTAGGAGACTGAGATGGCCAAGAACCCATATAAAGGAGGCTAGCATGGAACGATCTCCAGGATATACAGTTAAGTAAAACAAACAAGGTGCCAAACACTAAATTTAGAATGCTACCTTTTGACATGAGGGATTAAAGAGGTAGTGAGATAGAATAAATCTAGTCCTATTTGCTTGTTTTGCAAAAAAGGAACACTGAAAGGATACTCAAAAAGCCAGTAAGAGTGGTGACCTATGGGGAAGGGGTGAGTTTGGGAAGAGGAGGTAGACAAAGACATGGTGGAAATGAGATGTCGCAATGTATGTAAACCTTTTTACATCATTTTGATTTCTGCAATGTACACAAATAATACCTATTCAAAAAAAGCAAAACTAAGCTTAAAATTAAACAAAAACTGCAGTGATTTTAAGAACTTCCCTGTTGTGTTTTATATCTTCATTTTGCACTCGATTCATACATAAACAGTTATACAACACCATATTCCAGTACCAGTTTAATCATTACACACACACATAAAAATACCTGAGTATACAATCAGGTAATCATGGGTGTGGAATATTTTCTTGCTTCTAAGGAAAGAAATACAAAAGGTTAAAGCCTGGGAATAAATGTTAAAAGTCACTTATTTTAGCTAACTATCTCTTAATTCTATTTCTTTAAGTTATTACATCTTGCATATCAACACGGAGAGGAAGGAAAGAGGCTTTTTGTAGCTGTGACTTCCTCAGACTTAAAATGAACATTTCTCTCTCTTGAAGCATGTGACCCTAGAACTAAATTTCCCACCAGTAGCCTAAGCAAAGACAAAGGAATGAAAACAAATAAAGGAGGTTCCACAGTCAAAAGGAAATGCCAAACTCCCACACAATTTTATGGACATTTTCTTATTCACTTAAAACAGTGAACTGAATCCAATGCTACATACCCTTAACTCTCATCTTTCTGATCTCAGATACAGTAAAAACAAAATCCGGACTCTTTCCCACCATGGTTATTAACAATTTATAGTGCACTTACTATGTGCCAAATACTTTATATACATTGTCTAACTTATTCTTCACGAGTTAAGTAGTATTAGCCCAGTTTTATAGGTGCAAAAATAGATCCTGAGAAGTTAAGTGATTCTCCCAAGGTCCTAGTGCATTTAAATGGCGGAGTCTGATTCCGAAACCCAAGTTCTCCGCATTGAATGCACAATGTATCCCTACTAAAAGATAATGTATCCCTACTAAAAGAAACTGGCTCAGTAGATAGGCCTATTAAATTAACGCTGCCATATTACCGCTGTTAGAGTCTTAAAAAAAAATAAAATAAAAATAAAGGACAGTTTCAAACATATATAAAAAGAATATAAACCCCACTGTATATCCATCATCCTGTTTCAACCATTATCACACATGGCCAATCTTATTTAACCTAAATTCCCCTCCACCGATATGCCTCCCACCTCTCCCCTTGAACAGAATTTTTCTGAAGCAATTCCCAAGCATCATATTTCATGCAGCTACTTCAACAGCTTCTTAAAAGGACCCCTCCCTTACATATAAAACAAAATGTAACTGTAATACCACCTATCACACCTAAAAAAAAAAATACTAATTCCTTATTATCAAATACTCAAGTGTTCAAATTTCCCTAAATGTATGGGTCTTTTTT